GGTGGCGCTATTGTACGCGTAATGGGTGGGCTCGTCTGGGGCATGAATGTTATAATTATTTGATTGAATGAGTTTAAATATGTCATTTCCTTTTTCTTAGCAGGTCCTCGGTTTCAGTAGGAGTGTTTGGAGTTGAAGTCCCCTCCGACAACGGTAGAAGTATTAGAATTAAGGAGGTGAATCAATTCTTGTGCTCTGGGATTATTATTTGGTGGGATGTATATATTAGAAATTTTGAATTTTTATGTTCTATTGCAATTTCTATTGTGTTACTTGCGAAAGTGTTGCTGGGATTAGGAATTTGTGTGTTTTATGCTCCTTTTAACAAATGTGATGATGCCACCGCTTCTTCCTGTCTCACGATCCGTACGGTAGGTGTTATAATTAGCATAAAGTACTTTGAGTGCTGGTTTAAGGTGAGTCTCTTGTATGAGTATTACATCAGGTTCAATTTCAATAATGAGGTTGAATAATTCATCTTTGTGGTAAAGACCGTTTGCGTTCCAAGAGAGGATTTTTATGTTGCACCTATTCTTGAATTTATTAGAATTAAAGATGATTTCCTATTTTTTCAATGATTTCGACTACTATCAGTTGTAATTATCCCATCTCGTGTTTGGCGCGCTATAATCATCTTTGGTTTTGCGCCAATTACCTCTCACTCACTCACCCCTTTTCCACTGTTATTTTTCATTAGCTAATGCCAGATCTTTCATCCGACGGGCTGAACGATTTAGTCAGTGCACCAAGAAAGAGCAAGCAATTGAGATATGTTTATTAGTGCTGTAGAAGTAACGAGAAATTGTGTACCCGTATGTATTCGTTACTCGGTGAACCAGTACTCGTTACTATCGTATCGTTACTCGTTACTTTCGGTAAAATCGATCGGTATCCGTATCCTGAGCCTATTTTATCGGTCTACGGCCCTAAAAAGGGCCTTGAAACGTCGCATTGCATTGAATCACGTGAGCTATTCTACCCCGCGGGAACTGGGTAGTGCTGCGATAGGGAGCTTTGCGTCGCATTTTGGGGTAGAAATAATTCACTTTATTTTGGCTATTATTTTTTGGTGCACTGGATTCATTATTATTTTTTCTATTGCTGTTAGGGCTTAGTTTCTAAAGTCAGAAGGGCCTACAGAAGGCCGTCAGAAAACAGGAAAAAAATAAAAATAAAAAATAAATAAAGAAAGGAAAATAAATATTACAATAATAACATTAATTAGTAATTAAAATAACAAAAAATTACTTATTAAAAACTTAATAATTAAAATAATAAAAAATAGTGATTAAAATAATGAATAATTAAAGTAACATAATAATTAGCAACTGACATCTAAAATACTTATAAGTACAATTTAATAAAAATGTAAAAACAAATAAAAGTTAAAATAATTTTTAAATTTATGATGACTAATTAAATAATAAAGTAAAATACCAGAACTTGTCTTATTGGCTTAGTATCGTTTCGTCCTTTCTCATTTCATTCTCAGCTCGAAAAAGTGTTATTTCGTTCGCTGCCTTCCCCCGCCAAATCCTTCTTTCCCGTTTCATCCGCTGTTTGAAAAATAGGTGTTTACTTTACGATAAGGCGAACGTTTGTTTACTTCAATTAAAATGGCTTAGAAGAGATGACTGTTTCTACTTCGACTTAGCTTTTGATTTTTTAATATTATTTAATATTTTATGCAGACAAATTATGTTGAGCAGAATAATGAATTTCAGACGTGTTCAAAAGGTGTGTATCTGAATATAATAACATTTTTGTTGTATAGTATCCATTTTTTTAATTTCACACATTTCTAAAGCAACAGAAGTAAGGTATCACTATTTTGGCACACACATCAAAAATATGTATAATTAAGATTAATGTTACATTCCTTATTAAAAGTAATGCAACCATTCATGCTTCTAGAGGATTTTACATGTGGTGGTCTTAAAAAGATGATGTTCACTACCAATGTTTGTTTATGTTCCCAAAAATAGAGATCTCTTAAAAGGTGACCTCTTAAATAATGTCGTAAATAGATGATTTGCTATAATTATTTTCCAATAGATAATGGAATTAATGTTATCTAATGTCAATAACTCGAGGAAGCAAGTTAAAATACGGTGCAACAAAAATACAGAAGTATATTAAATGATGAAAATATTCATATTTTGTCAATGTCAAATTTAAAAAAGAATTAATTTTGGACAAATTATGAAATCTAACTTATTAATGTCGTCTAATTAATCTAACTTATTAATGTCGACTAATTAATGTCGTCTTCTGGTTTCTACATTTATATCTGGCAAAGTTTTATACTCGGTATGAAAAAATAAAAATACAAGAAGTTTGAGTCCCGTAGGACAAAGATTGACCGGGAAATTTAGTTTCAAAATTTGCAATGTTTGATGCCATTTGTAACTTGCCTTCGGGTATCGCTTAATTGAGTTAGAATAATTCGAGGAAATAAGTTTAAATGAAGTGCAGAAAAAATAAGCATAATTTAAATAGTCATAGAAGGAAGTCATGCGGAATCCATATCAAATTTTCACTTTTTCATAATGACCATAAAACTTTCCCAAATACAAATACAGAAAATGGGAAACCGCATTAAAGATTAGCTTGCGTTATTTGTCCGTTATTCCTTATTTCGTTTGCTGCTTCCCCCATTCCCTTCATCAGAACCGCTAATGACGAAAAGCTGAAATTTCCCCGATTCATCCCCTCTCCAAAAACTCTTTGTTGAGACTGTTATTTGTTGAGACAAGGAATGCTATATTATAAATGTCAACTTGCTTTTTACACTTAACAATAAAATCGATAAAAACATTCGCAAATGTATAGGTTAAGTACGAATAAGAACTTAAAAGAAATTTAGAAATCTATAAAAGGTAAGGAAAGTTTTATGTTACTTTATTAGAGATAATAGTGAAGCACTAAATATTTCAATCAGTTTTATCTCATAATGCTATGAGTATACCTTTATTCATTTAAGAAATGGCCCACCAGCGGTTGAGCGGTAAAATCGCTGAACACTGGTAGTTCCGACCTGAGTTCGATCTCAGGCAAACGGGTTGGCTTCATAAGCGTTTCGTGGTTTTTTTCCCTTACCAGCTTACAAGCCAGCTTACCACGTACCATACGAGCCAGCTTTCCTAAGAAAGTGCTCTACGAAGGCATTTTTCCTTTTAGGCACATAGCCCCAGTGTGTTTTGTCATAATCAACTAAACCAAATCATTTAAGAAATATATCAGTTGATCACTGCTCAGTGTACATCTGCTGTTTGCTTATAAAAACACTTTGTAAAGACGTTTCCACTATTTTGCTAATAATTCTGGAAGGCTCATAAAATCCGAAATTATGTTACACTAGCTAACAGAGAACTTAAGTCTGCTTAATACAACAAAAATCTGCTTGACTTGCTTTCGTGTCTTTGGGAAACGTAAGTATATGCAGAAATAAATATTAAAATCTATCACGTATATTTGTAAGGATGTAAAGCATACTGTTTTGGTTCACGATAATGATAAATATGCATCATGTTACGACAGTTTTAAAAGATCACAAATTACTATACATATGCTAGACTTCTAACAAAATTTCTGTTACAATATGAATATGCATTTATTATTATATGAGTCGTAAAATGGCCCACCAGCGGCCGAGCGGTAAAGTCGCTGAACACTGGTAGTTCGGTACGAGATTCGAATCCCGCGAACGGTCCGGCTACATGGGTGTTTTCATGGTTTTCCTCATGTGTAACGTGTATACGAGCCAGTTTCCCTTAGAAAGTCCTCCACGAAGGCATCCCCCCTTAGGCAGATAGCCATAGTGTGCCTTGCCATAATTAAATACACCTATACACACATGAGTCGTAAAATTCAGTATTCTTCATTTTTAGATTCTAGGTATATGAAAAAAATTTTTTTTAATTTTCGTTTTTTTATTAAAAATTAATTCACTTTATAGCTTTTCTTCAATTTATTATAAAGGAATAGGAGTTTAAATTTTGATTTATATATAATATGATATAAATTCATCATTCATTAATAATATTTTATGTATAACAAAAAAATTATCATTAATGTTCCAAATTTTAATTTTTTTAATGATTTGTCTTACATTTGTTGTATATTTGTTGAATGCATAGCTAAATATTTCAGTTATACACAATAAAGGTTATGCAGAAAACAATTCAGCTGGCATGATAGCTAATTGCGAAAGAAAAATTAGTCTTATTGCTCTTAACTCTTAGTACAAGCAGCCATTTTTAAATTGACGTTAAAGTAAATTTATTCTATGGTCTATTAGAAAATAATCATACTGAATCATTTATTGACGACTTCTAAGAGGTCGCTTTCTGAAAGAGACCTGTATTTTTGAGAACATAAACATACGTAGTCATAAGTATCAGCTTAGAGTAAATGGGATTACATTTAACAATAAGTTTTTTTTGAAAAAAAAAAAGAGAGAGAGAAAGAGAGAGTCCTTCATTGTGTTCGTACGTACAGGCGTCAGCCCAAAAAATAATTCACATGGATTCCGTAATCATCGAAAACGGATATTTCCGTTAAAATATGATACCCAAAAGTTTTCTCGATTACAATAATTACTACCATTTTATTTGATACAAGGAAGTAAAGAACCTATATTAACCTACATATTCTTATATAAACAATACCTAAGTGCAGTATATAAATATTTCAAATCAATAAAATCTGACTATGGCACGCTCAAGGGAAAAAAAAAAAAAAAAAAAAAAAAAAAAAAAGATGAATCATTTAAATTTTCAAATTACAAACATAAATAGCAATAGTAAAAAGCAAATACAAAATAACGCTTCACGCTATCAAAATTGCTCATTTTCTTAAATATCAACAACTAAATAGTATTTCAACTAAAACACATAATGTAAACAAGAGTTTGCCCGATGCCCAAAAAAATTCTAAATTATCTATGAAAAATATGAGCGCATTGTGACGCAACCGTATCATTCGTATTCGAACAGCAACCGCATCATTCGTATTCGCATAGAAACCGCATCATTCGTATTCGTATAGCAATCGCATCATTCGTACTCGAACAAACCGCATCGTACGACAGATGCGAGTAACGAACAGATGCGAGTAACGAAATGAATTTGTGAGTACCGAATCGGTACTTCGAGTGAACCGATGTACCCGTTACTCAGTAACGAATACATGCGGTTTGCTCCAGCTCTAATGTTTATAATTAATTTATTTACAAAGCTTGAGAAAGCAGACAAATTCTTACGAAAATCTGACACATGAAATTGCCTCTTTTGAGTAAATACAATAATATATACTATATTAAGCTTCTTGTGAAAATGGATATTTAAGAGATCAATTGTATATTTAAAAAATTTACACCTTCAAGGATATAACTTCTGAACGTATTAGCAAAGGTATAAACGAGATAACATGTTACGGATAAAAACACCCTTATCAAATAATTTCTGCATTAAGAATGGTAAATCATGATTCATGAGTATTTTTTTTGTGTGTGTGTGCTAGAATTGGCGAGAAATATTTATAGAAGCATACATATTGTGGCATGTCAGTATTCAGGGTATGATTAGAATAAATTGGCCGTATCTCGTATGACAAAACACACGAAGATTTCCTGTTTGCATTTGAAGATTCAAAATTTAGAGTCAAATTTTTTACTTGTGTGCAACCAACAAGTTCTTGCATATGTTTCATTGAATGTGTGCACCATTCCGAGTGCACAGAAATCTTATGTACGACCGACGCAAGTATGTAATTATATGTGTCCTATTTCAGAAATATTTCCAAATTTGTAAAATTGCATTGATCTGTGGTTAATTAAAGAATCAAAAAACATGCATAACAGCAAAGAAAAGTCATTCAAGTGTGATATGTGTTCCAAGTCATATACATACAAAAGTGATTTAAGCAGACATAGACACATTCATACTGGAGAAACATACGAATGTAGTGTATGCTGGAAATCCTTTGCTAACAAAAAAACACTAAAACAGCATATGTATATCCACACAGGTGAAAAACCATACACATGTGATATATGTTTTAGGTCATTTGCACAGAATGTTACATTAAAGCAACATAAGCGCATTCACTCGGGTGAGAAAGAATACATCTGTGATATATGTAAGAAGGCCTTTCTTCATCTGCGCAGCTTGAGTGTACACATACGTTCCCACATAGGGGAAAAGTCATATCTGTGTGAAGTATGTAATAAGAGATATTTGCTGAAACAGAATTTGAGGATTCATATGCGTATTCATACAGGTGAAAAGCCCTATATATGTGAAATATGTGACAAATCATTTATATCTGGTACAATCTTGAAATACCATTCATATATCCATACCAGTGAAAAACCACATAAATGTGTTACATGTCATAAGTCATTTGTTCGCAAAAATGATTTAAAAAAGCATATGATTTACCATAGTGAAAAAAAATATGTAGATTGTAATATATGTGGAATATCATTTTCACGTCCGAGTAGTTACAGTAAGCATATGAATTGTCATGTAACTGGAAACCAACATGTATGTACTATATGCAAGAAGTCATTTCCACGTGAATGGCGCTTAGTCAGACATATGCGTGTACACACAGGTGAAGAAACACATGTGCGTGAAAATACTATGCAGCGAAGTACAGATAAAAATGAACATTTTGAATGTGCTGCGTGTTTTAAAATTTTTCCAACTAATACTGCTTTACAAGAACATGTGTGTACTCATAGAGGTGAAAAACTGCTGGACTGTAATATTTGTGCAAAATTGTTTGCACATCAAAGTAGCTTAAACAGACACATGTTTAATCACACAGGAGAGAAACGGCATGTGTGTAATATATGTAAGAAGTCATTTCGACAGCAGTGCCACCTTACTAAACATTTGTGTATCCATACAAGTAAGAAAATATGTATAGAAAAAAGTACAAGAGATAAAAAGCTTGAATGTGCAGTATGTTTCAAGTCATTTAATTTTCTAACTGAGTTACAAGAACACATGTTTACTCATACAGGTGAAAAACCACTTAGATGTGATATATGTGGAAAATCATTTGCACATTGGAAAACTTTAAGGAAACACAGATATACCCACATAAGTAAGAAACGATATGAATGTAGTATATGTGGCAAAGCATTTCCATTTAATTACCTTTTAATTAGGCATAAGCGCATCCATGCATATGACAAACTTCTTGTGTCTAAAAACATTTCCCAGCAACAAACAAGTATAAAGTCTTCTGAATCTGTTGCATGCTTAAAATCATTTATAAGTCTAGAAGATTCACAGCAACATGTGCCTATCCAGAGAAATGAGAAACAACAAGAATGTAATATATGCGGGAAAACATTTGTACATCAGGTCCACTTAAATGGACATCTATGTGTTGCCGTTAATGAGTCTAATGTGTCTGAAAATGCTTCCAAACAGCGTATGACTGAAAAAGCTAATGAATCTGGTGCATGTTTAAAATCATTCACATGCCCAAATTTACAGCAGCATGTGTCCGTCCAGAGAAATGAGGAACCACAAGAATGTGATATATGCGGGAAAACATTTGCACACCAGGGACACTTAAATGGACACTTATGTGTTGCAAATAAAGAGTCAGATGTGTCTGAAAATGCTTCCAGATACCATATGGCTAGAAAACCTAATAAATCTGCTGCATGTTTAAAATCATTTACATATCTAGAAGATTTTCTACAACATGTATCTGTCCAGAGAAAAGAGAAGCCACATGAATGTAATATATGTGGGAAAACACTTGCATACCAGGGCCATTTAAATGGACATTTGTGTGTTGCAAATAAAGAGTCAGATGTGACTGAAAAGGCTTCCAAACAGCATATAGCTAAAAATCCTAATGAATCTAGTGCATATTTAAAGTCAGTTATGCAATTGGATGGTCTAAATCAAAATATGTGTACCCTCACAGATGAGAAACTACATGAATGTAAAATATGTGGGAAGATGTTTTCACTCTTCTGTATCCATGACAGTGAAGAGCCACATTTGTTAGAAAATGCTTCCCAACAGCTTGTGGCTGAAAAACCTAATGAATCTGATGCATGTTTAAAATTGCTTGCCTAGTTGAATGATTTTCAGTGACATGTATCTCTTCAGACAAATGAAAAGCCTCATGAGTGTAATATATGTAAAAAAATGGTACTTTTCCGTTTTGCTGCTGCAAATCTCACCGAGCAGACTTTATTGGCGACAACATAGTATGCACATAAAAAATGTTAGTTCTAAAACTGTTTTTATTTTGAATGGAAAAACATTTTAATATTGTTTAAAATTTTAATTTAAAAATTTACTCAGAAGCACTTCCGCAGAAAACCCGGTAAATGTAAAGGCGATAATAGTTCAAACCTGGTAACCCAGCAGCTTTATCGTATTCGCTTGTTCGAAGTTTGCAACCATTCCTCTTGCTTTCATTTTGTTGAATTAAAGTTGTCGTTCACATTTGCAGATTTATATTATTCTTCTCTTATTTATTATTATTTTTTCCCTGAATTTTTTAACAACGAATAGATTGATAGATAGAAATATTTTCGTAGAATTAAAAAGATGTTTTCGTCAATAGATTCTCGGTTGTGGGAACGTCCAGTTTGGTCATCAAAGGAAGAAAATACGGCAGTGAGGGGTGAATGCTAATGTTGTAACACGGCTGTTCACATTGTGTTCTTAATTATTAACAGCTCTAAGAACCATGAGGTTTCCAACCTCTAAAATAATTTGTTTCCGTAGGCCGCAAAAATGCGCATTTTAAATTATTAAGTAATGCTTTTATTTTTATTATTGGTTATTGTCATCTAAAATTATGAGAATAAATCAATTTTTATGGCATAAAATTTTAACAAGATAATATATTGTTAATGGTTTTCTAACAATCAATAACCTTTCAGATAATGGCAGGTGTGACATAAATAGATGATTAAATTGAAATAAGAAATATTATTGATTATCTAAGATGACAGAATAGTTTGATGCATCACCATGGTCATCAAAATTAGCAAACCACTGCTGGTGTAAGGAATATATTGTTTTCTGTGTTAACTGGAATTTATCGTATATACCCGCGTATAAGTCGACCCCCCACTTCCGAAATCGATCGAGAAACTTTGAAAAATTTTTTTAAGTACTACATTTATTCAAAATCATCTGAGAAAAAAAAGTAAATATACGATAGAAAATACTTAGGTAAATAAACAAAATCAAAATCCTTCAACGTCCGATTCATGGTCAGATTCGCCAAACATTTCATAGAACTCTTCTGTCATCATTGGCTCGTCATCATACATATTTTCAGTCTCGAACTCTGTATTGTTACAATCACTACCAGAGCCTTCGTCGTCATTTTCACTTTCAAAAACAGCATCATCTTCCGTGCCATCTAGTTCGTTGCTAATACAACATTTTTAAAATGATTTTATAATCATTTCAGAGGGTATTTCGTTCCAAGCATCTTTAACCCATTGAGCAATTAATGCAATATCGGGCTTTTTATTGTTCGGGGGCCGAAAATTCTTTGGTTTAATCGAAACTTACTCTAGTTAAAGTATGAAAATCTGTGATTAGTTCGTCACATAATTTAAGTCATGAAATTGCTTCAAGTAAGTGACTTATTTGATAAGTCGTCCAATTTGAGTGCGGGAAGAAAACAACTGCATTATATAAAAAATTTTTGAACTTCCGATTCTTTAAATTTTTTATGGCCCCGCGTATAAGTCGGCATCCCCACTTTGAAGTCTTTTTTTGGTCCAAAATATCTCGACTTATACGCAGGTATATATGTACGGTAAGACAAATTTTTTCATTTATCACGTTTAACCGGTTAATTTCAGTACATTAATACTAATTTATATTTTTTAAATGAATTTTTATTTCCGTTATAAATGCTTATATATTGTCTTATGCTTAATATCTTTTTTTCTGTGCTAACTTGAATTTAATACAAATTTATTTTCGTGTATCATGTTTAACTGATTAGTTTTACATCTACATGCTTATTATCTGTGAATTTTTACTACCATATGCTTAATACATTGTTTTGTCTACTAACTTGAATTTACATGCACTAAAAATCATGTTTATGGATCGGTGGTACTTACGTATTATCGCAACCAGGCTGGCGCGATTTGTAAGTTTGAGTAAAAAGGTATGAATAGAAAGAAAATGTACATTTATTAATTACAGATAATTTTTAATACAGTTTTTTATATTAGTTTGTTTTAAAATATGAAATAGCAATTAAACCCTTCTGGTTTCGAATTTGAATAAGTTGCAGAATTATTTTTTCGGCGGAAATCTTTTGGCTATTGCTTTTAGCACTGTTTGAAAACCGTCTTCGCAATTAACAGCTTGAGCTTGGCGCCATATAAATTCGATAAGGTATGAGTCAAGATGATGACGGGCTGTTCCTCTCTGTTTTTTGTTGCGCCATTTGGCTGAGCCCCACATGCGCTCTACATGTTGTGTGTGAACGCCCGTGTTGGGATCCACAAATTTATATTTGTGATTAACAGTTCCATGCAGAAATCCAGCATTTTCGAACTCACTTTTATTGTATCCTTTCCAGCAATCCGAATAAATGATGCTTCCTTCTTTGATATTTTCGTTTATATTACGAATATTACGATTTCGTTTATATATACGCTGATATAAATTTGGTGTGCACGTAGGGTTGCCGTAAGTAGGGTCGTCAAATTTGGCAATTTATGCGAATTTTGGCCTGGTTGCGTTAATACATAAGTACCGGATCGGCTCATCATTGATGAACCGCGAGCTTGACGAGTAAAAATGCAATGGCGCCAACGGGTTCTCTGCGGATGAAAACCCATTTACTCTGCGTACATGTTTTACAGGGTTCGTACGGTCCTTAAAAGTCCTTAAAAGTTTTTAAAAGGTCCTTAATTTTTTTCAAAAATGATTTTTGGTCCTTAAAAGTCCTTAATTTTGGCCAAAATGAATAAACGGTCCTTAATTTTGCTCATTTGATATTTTTTATCATTTCTAATGATTGCCATTCTAAGTGTGAATTACGATTTCTCATGAATATGGAATTAAAATTACACGGCTCTTAACCAATCTGTTGGCGGATTTGCATTGCAAACGATAAAAAAAAACAATTAGCTACCTGAACGAAAGTATCGGTGTCTGATTGGCTATTCACCCAATCTTTCGAAACAGGTGTTATCCATAATTTTAGGCAGACTGTGAACGAAAGCGTGAAGCCGGAAGTTCTTTAAGAGGCGAAAGTGATGATGAAGGTGCTCGAGAAAAAAAAAAGGGGGGGGATTCTGAAAATATTTGCCAAAATCTAGAGCAATTCCAACAACCTGGAAGGCCACAACCCTTCCGACGCCAATAGGAACGAGATGCCTGGAAAGTGCATTTTCAATAAACTGTGGCTTCATCAAGCTGACTACAAAGACTGGATATTGATGGATGGCAATCCTTAAATGTGGTCTTTGTCTGAAACAAATTGAAATTTCTAGAATGGGAGAGTCAGCGCTGAAAATTCACATGAAAATTAAGTTTCGTTTTATCATTTCAATTTGTTTTTACACGGTTTTGCTTAGCTTAATTTCTGTGTTTGTTTCAATTAAGCCATAAATTAATTTTTTATCACCTTCTACGGAGTTTATTCTCTTTTGCACATACTATATGTATGGGATATCGGGATTATGAGTTTATTTCTGCAGAGGGTCTGTTATCGATTTCGCGGGAAATCTGTTGGCTCCATTTCGATTTTAGGTCGCCAAGGGCAAATTCGGTAACGCTAGCCGAGAAAAAGTGAAGTTCGGAAATACGTTTTGAAGCTTCAATAGACAATTAAGTATTTGGTTTAAACCTATGTTGTTGATAGTAATGCATAATTTTTGCTAATGGCGATACAATTATTAGTTGAAAATAACTAACTAATTAAAAAATTTTAATATTTTTAAAGCTGAAAACAACTAATTGAAACTAATTTTCCTGAATTAACTAGACGCAAAATTAACTTTCATGAATTACTAAAGTTATTGGGTAGAAGTTTAACTGAAAATATACATTCCGTATTATATATATATATATATATATATATACAGTACAAAGTCCGAGGTCTGGACTCGTCGGGACTTCGGCGATCCCAGATTTGAGATTTTTCCGGATATTAGATCATTTTAAATCTACTAAGATGGCACGTAGAAATTATAAAATTGAAAATATGAAATCGTGATTTATGAAATAATGAAGCATTTATGATTTTAAAGGGTATCAAAATTTACAAAAGAAAAGAGCTTAATATTTATATGTTTACTTTATTAAACATTTCTTTCAATGTGAGTTGTTTGATTTGTTTTCTCTGCTAATACTTTAGACTAATACTATAGACATATAATTTCTTGTTCAGTTATTATTAAGTTCCATTGCTTCAAGTCCTGTAATTGCTGTGTCGAGAATTCCGAATAACTTGTCAATCAAATTTTTTTCTCGTTCAGTAACCTCTCTGTTACTTTCTTCACTATCGGTAGCTGTATTTTCTGGATTTAGAACCATACTACAGATTTCCGCCCTCCGTTAATTGATTGATGATTGGGTATTGTCATCGCAATGAAAAACTTCTGTTTAACTTCGCTAAATTCTGCCGCCTGGTGCGGCCATGCGAGATCTGGCGCTGGTTCTGGCTTTATGTGAATAACAAATCAGTTATTCTTAATTCAAATAGCACTAAATATAATCGTTTGTCCTATGAGTATCATTAACAAAATCTATTTTTAGCATAAGGAAAGAAATTTCTGCTAAATCTCCCCTTGTCAACATTTTAGCGCATTAAACTTAAATCTGTAATCGGATGATACTCTGTTATTTGGCGTATCACTCAAGTTGTCATCCGTTGATAAACATGCGGTGATGAAAGCAAAATACAACAAATAATGATGCGCGATTTCGGCATCAAGGATATAAAATATTAGTTGGTGTAAAATTAACAAATGTTTCGGTTTGAGATTATGCCAAGCAGATACGCAGCTATGGAGTCAAGTTACTAATCACACAAATTTATGCTAAAATAATTATTTCTTCAATAATGAGATATTTTATTTAGCGCCAAACTGAGATTAAGAATCGGGATTTCCGGCATGTTTTTTTATGATGAGGAAAAAAATCTAATGCGCATGCGTAAAGCATACCCCTTCCCTCCAAAAAAGCCCTAAAAAATTGGTTTGGTGGTGGCTTTGAGGTCTGGATTTTAGATCATTCCAGATATTGGATGTCCGGA